GGGGGGGGGGGGGGGGCGCTGCAAGCTCAGGGGCGAGGTGCTGCCTGGTGTCAGGTGGCCAGTCCTGTGGGGCTGGTGCGACCGGTCTCATTCCTGCCGAGGTACGTCTCCGAGGTGCGCTTCCCCACTGGGTTATCGAGAGGCTTGTAATGAACTAAACTCACAGCCACCCCGTTTGGAATTTGTCACACTTTCGTAAGTTTTTACAAAGAAAATGTCGCACATAGATGTTGAATTACTTTTGCGTAGAAACAAATCAAGGGAAAATAAGGAGGGACATATGCTCACGGGACAATGCAGTTGGCCGGAACATGTGACAGGAGTTGAAACATCTTGTAAATCTGTGAAAAAGACCAGGCTCCCTGTGTTTCTGCCCCCAGCCCAGTGTATTGATGGCACCCAGTCCCCTTCACCCACTGAGTGGAGGATACAGGATGGCTACGTTCTCCAGTACGGGCAGCATCCCCTCCCTGCAGTGACAGCTCCTACCAGTCTAACCTCCAGACAAATGAGGCTGCAGCGCCACCCAGGAAGGGCTCCTTCCCCACCGCCAGGCCTTCCCACGGGTTGGATTCCCAGTGACGCTCTGCGCCGTTGTTTGCTATTTTTATCCACTTGTAAAAGGAGACCACCATGGCTGTGGACCCTCCAATGCATTCACGCTGAGCTGCTGTGATCAGTGGGGGTGGGGGGCAGGGAGTAGGGTAGGACCCCTTGGGTGCAGGCACTGCCCCCAAGCCAGCTCTCCCCCATGGTGGTGGGTGATGGGTCAGCTTCCAGCTGTTTAGCCTGAGCATCACCATCTTCTCCTCAACCCACAGGACCCCAGGAGAGCCGCCTGGAGGACTCTGGAAGATGTTGCTCTGAGCCTGGACCAGAACTTGCTCATCAGCACGGCTGGCCTCCTGGCAGCAGGGAGGAAACCACGGAAGCTTTACAGTGACTGGTCTTGAGGCAGAGGAAAGGTGCTCTATTCTTCATTTTACAATGTTTCTACAATGCTCTTTGCATAGCCAAGAGTGGCTTGTTGGATGATCTCTGCCGGGTCACTAGTCTTGGGTGCCCTAGTCTTCTATTCAGAAGATCTATGCCCGGTCACTAGTCTTCTGTTCAGCTATGAACAGAATTGAGATAGTTTAACATCTTCCCCTACCAAGCCCAGGAGGTTCTGTGAGTATGTTACATTTTTAGAAATTAATGAGAGCTTCTTCGAAGTCCCAGCCTCTTTCTGGGGAAGACACAGATGTATCCAGCCCTAGCTCCTGTGTGGAGATGGCTGGGCAGTCAGACGACCCTCCTGCAGCCATCAGTGTCCCTGCGCAGGTGCCCACTGAGAAGGGTCCTCCAGGCCATGCACCACCCATCCTAAGACTGAGCAGGCAACAGGATGTCCCCTTCAACCCCACACTAGTGACGGGCCTGTTGGGGAGCCTGAGTCACCCAGTGATGCAGGGAGGCAGGCAGGGTGCCAGCCTCTGCGGGCCAGCCAGGACTGCCAAGAGCCAGCCAGGGCAGCCAATGATACATCCTGTGACTCTGCATCCACACCAGCGGCAGAGGGGTGAGACCCGATGGCAGCCCCGTCTCTGCCAGGTGGCGTGGTTAAGCCTCCCCTGGTAATACACAGGAGCAAGGTGATTCAGCATTTTTACTTGTACCTGAGGCTGGGACCAATCTTATGAATGAAAATATTTAACTTTTATTTTTTAATATATTTCCAAGGAAGCAGTCACCTATACTGCTTGTTTTCCCCGACTCCAAAGAATGCTGACCCCACACCTGTGCTTTGGCACCTGAAATGACACTGTTGGAGAATCAGACTGGGGAACTGACCTCAAGAGATGCCCACCGCTTGGAAGTTGAGTCTGCAGGGATTTATCAGGAGGCACTGGGAGCCTGGTGGGAAGGCACACCCAGGGCGAGTGGGACAAAGGTGCTGGAGGCAGACAGCCCTCTGCCCTTGGCATACCTTGTGATGGCCTGCTTCAGAGGTTCCTGCAGGGATGGCAATGGTGGGCCTTGCTTGCTGGGGAAGGTGTACAGGGAAGGGGAGCTGTTGTCAGCTCCTCACAGCCTGCTGGGTCTGCTTCTGCATCCCCACTGACCTGGCCATTCCCAGTGCTGGCTTTGAAAGGATGCTGTTTTCACATCACTTTGGGTATGGGCAGCTCTACTAGAGACCAGCCCTGCAGAGTGGGGGTGTGGTGGGGGGCGCTGCTCAGCCCTCCAACAGGGGACACAGGAACGCTACTCTCATGCTTTGCTTGTGTTCTGGCCTAAAGTTTTCCTTTGTGCTATTGTTTTTAAAAGCTTTATTGGGAACATGAAAAGAATCAACTGAATATCTGGAGGGATATGTAGTCTCTTTAAGAGTTAAAGGAAACTACTATTAGAGGGCTTTTTAAAACAACCCAGGAGCATCCATTTATCTACAAATAATTAATGTACTGATTATATGATTGTCTCTTCCAGTGGCTCCCCCAATAGTCCAATAAGACAAAGTGAGTAATTTTGCTGGTAGAGATATTACTAATGCTTTGGTGCACCTAGCACTTTGCAACGATTCCAGGAACAGGTAAGAGGCAGGAATTCTCATCCCTTTGTGCAAATGAGGGGTGGAGCCTTAAGGACTCACCAGGGCCAGAGTAGCTTGCGGGTGGCAGAGATAGACCTGGAATCCAGGTGTTTCCTGCATGATCTCTCATGCTGCACCATGCAGCAAGTCTGTACGGCACCCTGTGGAACCACAGAAGAGCAGTTCTTCACATGCAGAGACACAGATTTACTGCAACGTCTCATTTCCCTGATTTTGTTGGAGTCATTATCTCCCAAGCCACTCTGAGGGGGAGGTGTGATTGTACCTTCTAGTACCTGAGACCATCCTATGGATTCTCTTGGTGCATTATTTCCCCACAGACTCACCTTCTGGAAGCTCTGCCAGCTCCCTCTCACGGGGTTGGCGGGGTGGGAAGGGGACAAGCCTGCAGAGCCATCTGCAATGCCAGCTTCTCCTTCCTCGGCTCACCCTCCCACCCAATCCCAATAGGCCAGACTCTCCTTGAAACCAGGAACTCTTAGGAAGGAAGCAGCCCCACCTCTTCCTTCAGGCTCTTCCTTTTAGTCTAGAAGCCCCAGGTGAAAGGAAGAAGTGACTGATGGGTCCCATTGGGAGAGAGGACGACCCTGGTTGGCCCTACACTTTTTCTGTATGAGGCACACAGGATCCTGCTCGCATGTGAGTGGAGCACTGCAGGACTCATGATTCCTGCAGCTGTTGTTTGGACTGAGACCTCTGTGTCCAGCAAGACGGTGGAAACCCCCCCCAGCCCCCGCCCCCAGGAGTGCTGCATGGATCAAGCAAGCAGCCTTTCATGTGCACAGCTGGGCTTGACTGAAAAAAGGGGGAGTCTCCAGACTCCCCTAAAGGGACAGAAAAAAGGCACCAGGCTGATTTAGGGGTGCTTGAGTTCCATTGCTCTGGCTTGGTGGTTTCTTGTCACCAAGGAGCAGGAGCTTTAAAACACCTGGGTAATGAGCAGTTGGAAATGAGAACCCAATATTGAACAGATCTTCTCGAAGGGAAACTTGAGAAAGAATGTTCCAGGAGTAAAGGGCAGGGTCAAGGAAGCTGCTCTGGGGATTACATTTACATAACTGCATGATCTCAGAAACCCATGCAAACATTCCTACAAAAGGGGTTGTCTTAGTTTGGGCTATTATAACAGCATAGCATAGATGGGTGGCTTATAAACAATAGAAATTTATTTCTCACAGTTCTAGAGGCTGGAAGTCTGAGATCAGGATGCCAGCACGGTGCGGTCTGGGAAGGGCTCTCTTCCTGGCTGCAGACAGCTGCCTTCTCCTTGCATCTGCACATGGCGAAAAGAGGGTGAACGGGCTCTCTGGCCTCTTCTCATACGGGAACCAATCCCATTCATTCATAAGAACGCCACCCTCATGACCTAAGCACCTCCTGAAGGCCCTGTCTCCTATACCATCACATCCAGAGTTAGAATTTCAACCCTTCACTGGTACCCTGAAGACTCCTAGGCTGAACTGCTTCAGGAACACAGATTCAAATTATAGAATCTCCCGCGACAGTCAGCAGAGACAGTGACGAGCCAGATTAAACTATGGAATCTTAGCCAGTGCAACTGACCTTGGACTATTCAATAAGTAAGGAGGACAAAGGACACTTGAGAGGGAATTGAAAACATTTTTTTAAGAAAAGGGTACTGCCACGTTTTGGTTTTAGCTCCTGCTGTAATGCTATGATGTAACTAAAACAGGTATTGTTATTGCTGATTTTCAGATGTGGAAGCTCAATTCCAGAGAGTTCCGGGACTTCTCAAGGGCCCCACATTTATTCTTAACTCAGTTGAGGTTGAACCAGTGTGTCCAGAGCTCTGACTCCTCACAGACAGTCCCCTTGCTGGCTGAGAATACGCCCTTGTAAAGAAGTGACTGCAAAGCAGCTAAGCCTCAGTCCTGAGGACATTTCTCTAAGACACAGTCCCATTGTATACATCTTTGGGAATCATTTGGTGCTCGGCCCAGGTTGTTGTTAGGTGCTGGTTGGCATTCTTTGCTCCAGTAGTGAAACCACGCATACTCATTTTCATGCAGGCTGCTCTGCAGTGACAAATGAAAAGTACCCAGGCCAGGCCTCCATGGGGAGGCTCCAGACGACTGAATTGTTTGGCATAGCTATTTGTGCAAATGCAATAACCCACCACACTTGGGGAGAAAAAGATATTTTTTTTTATTATTTTGTCTTTTTTTTTATTGTTTTGTCTTTTTTTTTTTTAGTTGATGTACCAAGTTATACAAAATTGAAGGAACAATTGAAGTTCTCTGTATTATTTTGTCTTTTTTTTTTTAGTTGATGTACCAAGTTATACAAAATTGAAGGAACAATTGAAGTTCTCTGTCACCAGAGGTGTGTTTTGTGTGAGAACATGTCCTCTAGGGAGCGGCCACCAGTGTGGCCGTGGTGCTCTGTGTGCACAAGTTCCCGTGCCTCCCGCCTCTGGCCGGCCATCGGCCTGTTACCCACTGTGCACTGGGGACTCCCAGTCACTGAGGGCTTCCAGGACTATGGACACTGGGGACACAGAAAATGCTTCCTCTCTCTTCAAATATCCCCATGAGGGGTCCTCAGTGAGGACCAAGGAAGGTGACCCAGATGACTACCTCCTCACCAAAGCTTCTCCTCCCTAATAGAATCGTGGAGACAGTAAACATGGAGATGCTTCCTACCTGCAGGTATATAAGATTTAAAGCTTCTAGTGAGAAGCGGAGACAAAGGGAGTGTCCTTTTATTGGGGAGGGCTAGACTGTCTACTGCTGATTTAGTAAGTGAGAGTCCTTGGCCAGACGACACCCCAGGTGCCAGGAGAGGAGCCGTCCTGGGGGCCTGCAGGTATATAAGATTTAAAGCTTCTAGTGAGAAGCGGAGACAAAGGGAGTGTCCTTTTATTGGGGAGGGCTAGACTGTCCACTGCTGATGTAGTAAGTGAGAGTCCTTGGCCAGACGACACCCCAGGTGCCAGGAGAGGAGCCGTCCTGGGGCACGCTGACAGTGGCCACCCATCTTCTCCTGCTGGCCCACCCACGGTGCTTTGTGAGCTGTCCTGAGACAACCCAGGGAAGAGCAGGGGGGAGAAGGTGCCAAATGCTCCTGGGAGGTGTCTTCTCCTTCATCCTGTTGTTCTGGGACCAGCCACAAGAAGCAAAAACTCAGCAAAGAAAGAAGAGGGGAGCTTCAAAAGCCCATCACGGATGAATGGGTGGACAGAATGAGGTCTATCCATGCAGTGAAATATTCTCCAGGTACAAACAGGAATGAAGTACTGAGGACACACTCTACAACACAAACGAACCTTGAAAACACGATGCTCAGTGAAAGAAGCCAGACACAAAAGGCCACATACTGCCTGGTTCCATTTATATGAAATGTCCAGAACAGGCAAATCCATACAGGCAGAGAGCAGATTAGTGGTTTCCAGGGGCTGGGGTAGAAGGCTGGGGAGTGACTGATAATACGTGCAGGGTGATGGGAATGTTCTGGAACTAGATAGTGGTGATGGTTGCACAACATTTTGAGTATTCTAAATGCCACTGAATTGTACACTTTAAAGTGGTTATAATGGTAAATTTTATGTTATGAGTACTTAACCACAATCTTAAGACAGTGCTTGACTGACCGATTTAGCAGGCACCGTGTGTGGCGCTTGTGTGGGGCAGGCATGGTGGTTTGACTCGACCAATACTTATTGACACCTGCTGTGCTCAGGTACTGAGCGCAGAGCTGGAGATATGATAATGAGCAAAGTAGGTTCTCATGGGGCTTAGTCTCAGCAGAGGAAACAGACGTTCGTGAAACAATCCGCAAGTAACTGTAAACTGAAGGGATTGCTGGGCACTCGTGTGGCCAGTGGGGAAGCACAGGAACTCTGCTGGAGGGTGGGTGGACAGCAGGGCAAGACCACCACAAGCCTTTAGATTTTGTTCCTACCACAAGAGGAACTGGCTATTGGCCGAGAAGAGAGCGGTCATGTCTGCTCCTTCTTGGCCAGGACGGCCCCCAGAGAAGACAGCAGGAGGACTGGTGGGCGGGGCCCACTGCACACGCACTCAGAGGGGGACTGGAGGGGCTTGGCGGTGGCGTGGGGGGTGAGGTGTTGCGGGTGACTGCAGGTGTCTCCCTTAGGCAGCCTGGTGGGTGCGTTGGAGCAGTAGCCGTAGCAGGGACCTGTCCCCAGGAGGATAAGCAATGCTACCCCTGAGAGTACCTCGCTGGTCTAAGATGCAAGAAGAAAGAAGCAAAGGAAGGAGAAAACTGCAAAAGGGGCTGAGAGATTGGCGAAGGCAAGAAACGGGAATGAAAGGACACCACGGGAGGTGGGGAACGGCAGGACTCACGTGCTGCCTTGGCACCAGGCTCCCCTCTCATGAGTGCCCGCTGCAGGGCAGCACAAATGGAGTGGACCTGCATGGCTCAACACAGACAGACCCTCGAGACAGAGGCCCAGGAATTCAGTGCCTGACAGACCAAATGTCACAAAGCCCTGTGAAAGGACAGGATTAGTAAATCTTGGGATGGAATTATCAAATGGGAAGAAACCTGTGACCTCAGCCAGAGGAGGCCCCTGTGCAGTTGTGCAGGTGAGGGAAGGGGCTGAGCACCCTCCCCAAGGCACACGAGCCCATGGTGGCAGACAGTGCCACCTGCCCTTGGCCTGCCTCGGTGTTCACGTCTCCCTGAGAGGGTGCAGGTGCAGCATGAAGCGTGGGCTTCATCTCCCCCTTTGCAGAGAGTGGGCATCGATCCTACCAGGAAGGGCCGTGCCGGGGGACAGATGTGTTCACGCAGACGCGGCACCTGGTGCACTGTGGGTGCTCGGCAAATAGAAATAACAGCTCTCTTGCACAGCCAGAGAGAAGAATAGGGAGGAATAAAGCTTTAAACACACCCTTCACACCAAACATATTTAACTTCAGATGAACAAGCAGCAGAAACGAACAAAACACACAGGAAACGAGTCCAAAGGAGAACATGGGTGTCCACCCGTGGCTGGCGATGCTTATCTTTGTCAAACACAACTGAAGAGAAAGAGTCGTTCACTCATTCATTCAGTCTCATATTACCGAGCGCCTATGTTGTTAGAGGCTGCATGAATGCAATGTGAAATG